GACCCGTATGGATCCAGGAGCATGCAGCACGGACCCGTATGGAGAGAGACCAGTGCAGACCCGTATATGGGAGAGACCAGTGCAGACCCGTCTAGATCCATGGGAGAGACCAGTGCAGACCAGTATAGATCCATGGGAGAGACCAGTGCAGACCCGTATATGGGAGAGACCAGTGCAGACCCGTATAGATCCATAGGAGAGACCAGCGCAGAGACTCAGCGCGGACCCAGTAACCTCCTGCAGCAGCAGTATATATGCCGTTGTTCTGTGGCCCGTGGATAAAGAAATGCCCCCTATAAATAGGAAGGGGTCACTAATACACGGCAAGATTTCCAATGTATTTGATAAAGCGTTGGCACATTTCATTTCAAAATGAATTAAAAAGTAGGCCAGATCTGCAGGGAAAAAGGCGGTATATAAATAAAGATTACTAATAAAGATTACTACAAATAAATAAATACATACATCGATATGACGGACATATCACTGGAATGTTGTATTTTTATTCAACTTCACCAAAGAGGACAACCCCGGCGTGTGAACATGTCGGCACTGAATGCGTACGAGTGCTCCTGAGGACTCGTAGGATTTGCACTTGCCCAAGAGAAATTCTGGTTACGAGAAATATTCGTGAATGCCACTTTCTTCGTAAAAACCGCGTAAGTAGGATTTACGTACAAATCTGTTCCTAAGAACCGTTCGTGAATGAGGCCCAATGTCCTTATGTAATATTTTTTGTTTTGTCTGAATCAGTTGCTTCATAAAAAGTTGTTGACAGCAAGGTATCACCAGTGGGTTCAACAGCTATGCGCCTAAAGATCTGCAGCCCTGAGCACCAAAACGGGGCAAAGAGTTTGAAGCTTGGATGAATAATGCAGCAGAGAGACAACAGTAGATTGTGTTATGAATGATGCAGACATTCACTGGCTCCTCAGTCAAAATAGAGAGGACAGGGACGGTGTGACCTGATGTACTTGAGTAAACTTCGACAAGCCTTGAGGCAGCTAACAATTGAGCTGTTGGTTTAAGGGTTTAAGTTTGACCAGCTACAATAACAAGTCATGGGGAATATTGTAAAACATAATACAAATGAAAGCTTTGTATTTGTTAGCAGAAAAGTGAAGTCATAGCAAACAATAATAACATTTTGGGACAGTTCTATCACCACTGTAAATGTGTTTTGATTGTTTAAATAGAGCTTTGTAAGTAGAGGTGAGAAAGCCTGTCTAAAAAGATGGTTTTAAGTTGACCGAGTCCGACATGCGCAGGGACTGGGGAAGCTCATTCCAAAGGCGAAAAGCAACAGCCTTGAATGATCTGTCTCCTCTGGCTTTAAAACAAGTGCGAGGAACCATCAACAGGGTCTGACTGGAAGACCTCAGGCTGCGAAGATAAATCAGGCTGGATCAGGGGCCTCCGTGTATTCAGGTGTTCGACCATGAAGCGCCTGCACCATGTGTCTCTAAAAAGACAACATCTGGTCTTAACTAATCGTAACAAGATCGTGATTCTTTGAACGGTTACTCAAAAGACCAAAAATCACAGAAATGGGGAGATAGTATTTGTTGTCAGACCATGTGGTGTACTGCTAGAAACAAATTATTCCTTTGATCCAATCTGAATAAAAATGAAAGGAAATTCTATGTAAATTATAGCTTCTTGGATAGTTTTGTGTTTATACATTCCTAAGTTTGTGGTATACTTTTGCATTTATTTAAAAAAAAATTCAACAACCTGTCCTCAGAGATGTCCTACTTGGCACATTTAAGGCACGTATTAACAGATAGTAGACACACCGTTTTACAGAGTGGCAAGAAGCGCCTTTTTGTGTGGAGTTTGCATGTTTTCCCCATGTCTGCGTAGGTTTCCTCCTGGTGCTCCGGTTTCCACTAACCCAAAAAAATGTATAATAGGTATAAATGTTTAAGTGATGGGATGGGGCCTGGAGGGTCTGGAATGCACCTCTTGTGTCAGTGTGTCTGGACACAATGGTAACAGCACAATATACATACAGATTTATAATTTATAGTTTAATACAGAGGTGTCAAACTCATTTTGGTCCGGGGGCCACATACAACCTAATCTGATCTCAAGTGGGCCGGACCAGGAGATGCTCTACAAAAATATCCAAAAACGGAACAAAGTCCAACTTTTTGTGCACATAAACACATTTATTTAAAACTTCCTTTAAAACACTATCCTTTAATACTCAGTTTTCTGTTACAAACTTAAATGTAACAGTGAGTTTTCCATAGTGCAAATAATGTAATGTATTTACAATATTACATTGAAAATGGTATTTCACAATATGTATATTAATATTTGTATGTTAGCTTTGTTTTAAGGCTCATTACAGAGAAAACCTGCTCACAGAGGTAAAGTAGGTAGATAGAAAAAAGCACTTAAACACAGCACCTCAGCTTAACCACCTTCAGTGTGGTCAGGTCCATGGTTATGTTATTATCACATTAACCACCTTCAGTGTGGTCAGGTCCATGGTTATGTTATTATCACATTAACCACCTTCAGTGTGGTACGGTCCATGGTTATGTTATTATCACATTAACCATCTTCAGTGTGGTAAGGTCCATGGTTATGTTATTATCACATTAACCATCTTCAGTGTGGTAAGGTCCATGGTTATGTTATTATCACATTAACCATCTTCAGTGTGGTCAGGTCCATGGTTATGTTATTATCACATTAACCATCTTCAGTGTGGTAAGGTCCATGGTTATGTTATTATCACATTAACCATCTTCAGTGTGGTAAGGTCCATGGTTATGTTATTATCACATTAACCATCTTCAGTGTGGTAAGGTCCATGGTTATGTTATTATCACATTAACCATCTTCAGTGTGGTCAGGTCCATGGTTATGTTATTATCACATTAACCATCTTCAGTGTGGTAAGGTCCATGGTTATGTTATTATCACATTAACCATCTTCAGTGTGGTAAGGTCCATGGTTATGTTATTATCACATTAACCATCTTCAGTGTGGTAAGGTCCATGGTTATGTTATTATCACATTAACCATCTTCAGTGTGGTAAGGTCCATGGTTATGTTATTATCACATTAACCATCTTCAGTGTGGTCAGGTCCATGGTTATGTTATTATCACATTAACCATCTTCAGTGTGTAAGGTCCATGGTTATGTTATTATTACATTAACCATCTTCAGTGTGGTAAGGTCCATGGTTATGTTATTATCACATTAACCATCTTCAGTGTGGTCAGGTCCATGGTTATGTTATTATCACATTAACCATCTTCAGTGTGGTCAGGTCCATGGTTATGTTATTATCACATTAACCATCTTCAGTGTGGTCAGGTCCATGGTTATGTTATTATCACATTAACCATCTTCAGTGTGGTACAGTCCATGGTTATGTTATTATCACATTAACCACCTTCAGTGTGGTAAGGTCCATGGTTATGTTATTATCACATTAACCACCTTCAGTGTGGTAAGGTCCATGGGTATGTTATTATCACATTAACCATCTTCAGTGTGGTCAGGTCCATGGTTATGTTATTATCACAGAGAAAGCATCAAACTGATAGTTTCAGTAACACCACAAATGAATATGTGACATCAGTAACATCAGTCTCTTATCAATGGCAACATGTTGGTAAAAGCGAGTGGTTTCTCAGACCATGTCTGCAGCCTGTAAGAGAGATTTAACAAACTCTCTCTCACTGTGCGGCTGCGATGCTAATGCTAATGTTGTTAGCACAGGTAGCTTCCCTTCACAGCAGCAGCACTAACCTCTCGCTCTGGGCACAAACAGACTGCTGTGTCTTCAGGGCCAGACAGGTTTATCTTCTGTTTTCTCAATCCTTCGCTCAAAGTGCCGTATTTTTCGCCGAGTCTTGTAGTTTAAGATGTTATTCCTTCAGCACCGCTCTGGTGGAGCCACTACAGACGCACTGGACTCACCCCTGAGCGCGGCGCTTCGCGGCGCGGAGCCTCGCGGAGCGGCTTTTTAAAATGTAACTTTATTATATTTTTACATAAATGAGCCACGGGCCGTGTCAAATCTCTTGGCGGGCCGGTTCCGGCCCGCGGGCCGTATGAATGACACCCCTGGTTTAATAGGTATAAATCTAGTTATAGATCATTAAAGCATTCCTGGTTATTTTAATACCATATGAAAATACAATACAAGTCATCTCAATCAGAACTATCATTTTAATCCCTAGACTAATTCACCCACCCTTGTGCATCAACTATACACAGCTCTGGTTTACAAAGTTCACCATCGCATTCAAAATCTAGCCCCAAGGATAAAAGCCTGCTCCAGCTGATAGAGGATCGGTCTCAGCTGATGCTAAGTTCAGACCCTGGAGCAAGCATCATGCGCCCTGTCATCACCACATGGGCACATCATCAGACCAGCCCCAAGCCCAAGTCCCAGCACCATGGAGACAGGTGGGCTCTAATAAACCGCTGGGTGAAATATGGATGGTCCTCTTGCCCTAGACTCCATTGACACGTGCCACACACACAAAAAAAAAAAAAACAAGAGACAACGAGAAGACACGCAGAATTTGGGAGCAAGCAACAGCTGTTAAGTTAAGGAAGAATGCAAAAAATCCCTCAGTACTCAAACGCGCCACTTCACCTCCCAGATATTCTTAGCACAAGTATCCTCTTTAAACCTGCCCCGAGTCTATTATCCAGATTAGTGAGAGAAACTACTTGTAGACACGCTTCTTACTACGTATGTACCCCCCAATAACCTTCAGTCATATGCCATCACATAGCCTAATTCAGAACAATGATTAAAAGGAAGAAAGTGAAACTGTAAAGGCAAGGCGTAATCGTGCGTAAAAGCGCATTGTATTACACTGCATTACACCTTAAGCCGGCAGCTAATCTCTTCAGCGTGCATTCAGTATAGTATGTGGTGAAGCTCATCACTGTTATCTATAGGCATTGTCCTTATACACGCTTCAAGTGCACAGGCAGAGCGCGCACAAGGATAGACTTACCAGTGGAACTCATGATGCCCGACGCGTCTTTACGGGAAACAAACCTCCGTCTCGAGTAATCCCATACAGCAGAAGACGACCTTCTTGGAGCAGTTTGCCCCTTCCCAGCTGCATAAATAATGGTAACAGTGAAGCTGCTAATTGACGCCTTTCTCACTCCATCTCAGTTGAACCGCGCGCAGCCCAGCCTCCTTGTTCCAGAAGAGCGCGGAATTAACCGAAAAGACAAATAAATAATTGAAAGTGTTTGTAAATCCCAAAGACTTCAGCTCCCCACTCGTGCAGTGCGGTGTGGCTTCTCAACCCAAACAGACGCCAATGACAACACAGCGCCGCGCAGTCAGATTGCCCCTCACATTTTGGCTCCCAGCTGGTTTTGCACCGTGCTCTCCCTGGTGGTGTGCTGCTGTCAGCGCGCTCCCCGTGTACCCGATCCACAGCGCATCCGGAGAGCGCTTTCAAAATAAAGACCGACTAATTAAGCTTTTTAAATCAATATGTTGCATTATGGATCAATATGGAGCTTCATTTCACGCTCTTCTCAATCAACGGCCGTCATCAATAGAGTAAAAGTGATTCAAGGAGTGCATGTTTATAAAGTAATAGTGAAATAGGAAGGTAGTTGTATAAGTTTGAAATGAATGAATTCTTGTGAGTGTGGTATGTTCTGTGCTCTGTCCTTTTTATGTTTCAGGATTCCTAGAATATATAGGCTTATAACTTGTATTGCGATTTTTTGGCTATTTTCACATGTATACATGGCATCAGTTATGCAATTGATTAATTAAGTCAAATATGTTAGCATATTATCATATCTATGTGTCACTACTAATAAATGAAGTGCCAGAGCAAAAAAACATAACACATAATATTTTTAATTATCATTTTAATTTGTTCCACATGTAAAAGGTGATTTTCGCGCTAACTTCTGCTTACTTTACGCACTTTTGAAGCGACGACGTCATCGTGCGGCTGGGGCAGCTTCAAAGTGACTATCATCAGAAAGACTTTTTACCCTTCTATAAAACATACATACAAACAAGCACATGGGTGTGAAGCTGTGGGTCCAGCCTTTAGAAGGAGGACTTCAGGACGAATCTCAACTTTCACAGGTAACGTCTGCAACAATGTCCTTCTGCTGTGTCAACCACAGACTGTATGTGTCAACAGGCCAACACGTGGAGAGAACCAACAAACAAACAATATGTGGTCAACAGTTAAGTGCCTTTGTATCTGCTCATTCTTGGGCGTAGTTGTTTGTCTATTAAAGATTTTTAGGCTTGCTAATTTTACGTTTTTTATGTCAGCCTATTTTTAAATAGCTAATATGTTAAATATCTGCTTCTCTAAGTTCACTTAAAAAAATGCAGTGTCAGTCTTCATTTGGCCTTGTACTATTGTATGATTTAAACGTATAGTATTAAACGTGTCTATTATGAAAGATCAGGGCTCGTTTTTCTATGTTGTTGTATGTTGTATATATGTTGTAGAAAGACGGGGTTTTGGCTAAAACTATCGTGACGCTGCCCTCTTGTGGAACTTTACAGAACTGATTCTTAGGATAATTGGATTATCTGCAGCACGGTTGTCTGCCATAAAATGACTCATGCGTGATTAGGATTAAGTTGCCTTCAAGAGTAATGGGTGCTCATCTACCCAGCAGTACAATTCACTGATGTAAGGCCATTTAGACATACTTGTACTCTAATGTTTCTTATTCTGTTTATTCTTTCATATAGATCTGTGTGCATTGTATCCACAGCAAATTTCCCTTGGGGTCACTAAGGTTCATGTTATATCATCTTAAATAAGGTTTTTTATTAACAACTTTGATTTTATAGATTTTAATTTGTGTATGTCTATTGGGATGTGGAAGGAAGGCAAGACAAGTGTAAAAAATGAATATGTCACATGCATGTTTATATAACGCTGTTTAGTTAAAAGTTAAACTGAAATTGACATTTCACGTATACCTATTCATTTAATAAGGCAAGCACAATACTTCAATTAAAGCCGGAGTTCCTAACTTTTGTGTTGATAAATAACACGTTTTTTTTGCACCAACAGAATGAGTCGTGACATATCAGACCACATGCTGTCTTCATCTTAATAGAAATGCATGTTATGTTTTGTGAGCCCTGTAGGGGTGTGCTAAAGAAACAAAAGTTTAGATACATACCTACTATTTCTAAATGAGATACAATATAATTTTTAATTTAGTAATATTAACTTAGTAAGTTTAGACTTTTCCAAATAATGTATAATGGTATTGTATTGTTTAATTAATTAATTTCTAGTAAGTATTTCTACTTACTAGAAATTAATCTTGATCTTTTTTTTTTTTAAGCTTATTAAAAGGAATCAGTTAATAAATTACAACAATTCCATATTATACAAATTAGAATATGTAATTTTTTAAAATTCCGTTATATTCATTAACAAAATATACTTGAATAGTGTGGTATTTTTGTTAAACCGGGCGGCGTAATAGATTTGAGAAGAAAAAACTTTTATTTTTACTGTACATTCTCGTATTGAAAGTTCCTTGTATCTGACTGGTTATCAGCTGGCTTTGAAAGATATCCAGCCAGACTGAGAGCTGATTGGCCGAGTGGGGGGTAGTCCTCTCTTTCACTTTTCTGTCTGAAAAGGCTTATCTAAATAGCTGTGTTTTCAAATACATGCATTTGAAAACTAGTGATGAAACCAAGTGTTTTGAGAATGAAAGGACAAGTTAGATGTATTTTTGTGTGGTTTCAAAGTTAGGATCCCCAGCTTTACTGTATATGACTTTGTTCAAACATAAAATCAGTTAATCATTAAAACCTATTTATTGATGTTGGAAGAGAAGGAGACAATTTCAGTGTTTACCAATTGATTATTGACAGGAGCTAGATCGAAACAGTGATAACGGATAAACTTTGATATAACGGATCATGTTGTTATCAGAGGGACTTTGATAGACTGGGTGTAGCTCCACGTGGGCGGGTGCACTGCCCTCGCGGCCTTCGGTACCGGTGCTTATTATGGTCTGAACCTCACACTACACTGTGGTTGTGTCACCCAAACAGAGGGAGCAGAAAAACAGGAAAATGTGTTTCCTGTGGCCAAAAGGAGCAGGGCAGCGCCAGGTCAGCAGCACTGTCACAAAACTGTCAGTCCAACACAAACAAGAGGGGCATCTTAGTGGATTCAATCTGTCCTAACTTTTCCTTATATATTAATTTAATGATTTACAATTGCAAAGCTCACAATAGTGATTATGCGCATAGTTCATACTTTTGTTATACAGTATCATCCTATAATTTGTGAAATATCTTAAATATCATAATCAGTAAATGTATTGGAACTCAACACTCAACTCAACTCTAATATGTCATATAATAATAATATACATTTATTTTTCCAAGCAAAATAAATGTAGGGCTTTGGCTCCGAAAGTATGGGCCTGAGATTCTATCCTGGGGAGCACAAGATGTTACATTATTTCCAAAGTTTTTAATTGTATTTGACCACACATTTGACTCATAACACAACTATGGGGGTGGAATTAAGTAACACAAAACAAAACATGACTGAATACAACAACATGAAAACATCATTACAGGGGATTTAGCATATTTGCGCTCTAAAGAAAGGGCAGAATGAGGCTTGTTTTCTTCTTTCTGCTTCTTTTAATTTGTGTGACAAGACTACAATTATTTGAAAGGTAATAATATTTGATTAAGTTCATCCATCCATCCATTTTCTACCCCGTAATCCATTTCTGGGTTGGGGGGGACAGAGATGCCACCCAGTACACATAGCACCAGCCCCCTGATAGTAGTAATCTTTTAGTAATAGTAATCTTTATTTATATACCGCCTTTTCACTGCACATCGGAGTCTCAAAGCGGTTTACAATTGTTATTTTTGGGAGTGGGGGTGCCAGTACAGGAGGCACATGCCAGACCTATTGTACATATTTTTAGTGGTAGGGGAAACCGGAGCACCCGGGGGAAACCGGAGCACCCGGAGGAAACCTACGCAGACACGGGGAGAACATGCAAACTCCACTCAGAAAGGCCCTGGTCCAACCGGGATTCGAACCCAGGACCTTCTTGCTGAGAGGCGAGAGTGCTATCCACTCAGCCACCGTGCCGTGATCACAATTGAAAATAAATAAATACTTGTTCACTTTTTCCAATTTTCTCGGGATGAGTTGATAACCATTATGAGTTGATTACACATATTTTGGCCTAATTTGGTGCTCCCTGATGAAAAAGTTTGAAACCCCCTCAAAAACTTATCTGGGCTTAACCTCCCAGTAAATACAGTACAGTTTATAAGATATTTTAATGAAAAAAGCCCTACTTCAGAGTGAAGAATTTGCTATTGGATGATTTTCAAGTTTCCTGCTTTAAATTTTATATTGCTTCCAAAACAATGTTCTTGAATGGGAACACTTCACCACAGCTCTGACCTGTTGTGCCAGGTCAAAAATAATGACATATCATTTTGTTTCCACACAGTGAAAGCAGAAATCCCACACCAGGGAAGTGCATCCTGCAGTTCTAGAGTAACTTATATTATAATTGCACAGTCGGCAGCAGGATGTTTTCTGTACACACCAGCTCAGATAAATCCTGTAATGCTCATGTTCTGCTATAATTATGGGCCTAACGTTGTTTTCTGTGACCAACTTTTGTTTGGTGGTCACACTCGAGCCATGAGTCCACTATCGAGTCCAGCAATCAGCAGAACACTGCATTCTCCACTCGCCACATCTCTGTCCTTTGTTTTCACATGACCTGCTCTCGTCATGCGTGTGTGATTTGGTTTCACACAAACATCTCTTGTGCTGGGATATGATTATTTTGCTCTTATGGGTTCTTTAATTGAAAATATATGTATGATTTGAATAAGGAGGTAAGGCAAGCCTATTTGTATAGCATAGTTCATACAGGGCTGCTTTACAAAACAAGATTAGATAAGATAAGACCTTTATTCGTCCCGTAGTGGGGAAATTTCAATG